TTGTGTGTGTCGCCTTTTTTTTTTTTCTTTCTTCCTCCGCCCCCCCCCCCCCCCCCCCCCCAATAAATGCATGTAGAGATTATTTTATGAACTGAGAGCTAACAACTTCTCTCTTTCCTTCTTGTCAATACAGACAGCATCATTAAGGACAAAGAGTTTGAGGTGATGATGCAGATCGACTGTGAGGTAACAGACACCAGGATTCTCCACATCAGATCCTCCAGCATCCCTCCGTTGTTACGGGTCAACCACACAGACACATTTTACCAGCACGCCACGACTGAGAGCAAGGCTGCGCCTCCCGTTGGCGTCCTAATGGGGTCTTCGTAACGTCACCAATTCCTGCCTTCTTTGTAATTCCTCCTCCACAAAATCCATGAAGGGAAACTGACCTCAGTCTGCTCATTTTTACATCAAAATTATTGTAAATCTGGTGCGATCCCACAGATTTGATCCGTTTGTGATTTCCGTGACTGTGCTTTGCAGAACCGTAGTTGTTTTTCACCAGGGTAGATATCATGATTCGCTGGCGATGGGTTGAAGCAGGTAACGAAACTAGATGGATGAATGAATGTTTAGAAGCACAACATGGTTTTAATTAAAAATAAAACTGGTAATCTTTTTATTTAACTAAGCCATTTTGTGTGCATCCCAAGAATGCATTTTAGAACTCAGGAAGTCGGGTAGTCTGAAAGCTGTCAGGCTTTAACTTAAATATTCCACGTGCTCAGTTTGCAGCGCTTCATTGATCATTTCAGTCCTATTTTTGGGGTCTTTGCACTGTGTTTTATATGAAACGATGACGTTGTATACTGTGCAAAACTTTACATATTTATTTATGTAACAATATATATCTGTGGTTAAAAGCATTTTTTTTATTTTTTTTTGTATTTGGTCAAAATGATGTTTTTCCCACAAATTTTCTCCCTTTTTTTTTTTGTTTGTTTCTTTGTGGGAGTTTTTTTATTTTAATTGTCAACAGAAACCTCAGTGGCATAATGTGAGTAAAATATAAATAGTGGCAAGAGAGAAAATACTTTGCAGATGTTGGTAAATAGATTTGAGTCTCTGTTTACTAGACTGACGTGCAGATTTCTTTAAATCCAATAAAGCAGTTCATATTTTATCAAACAGAGAAAGTTCTTAAATAATTGAGTTAATGTTGGACATACAACCACTACTGTAGGTCTTCTCCTTCCACTGGCTGAATTGTGATGTTTAGTTTATAACTATTTTGTTTTTAATAAGGATCGCTAAAAAATACAGAGCAAAAGAAAGTTTTGTTTAAAAATGCCTTAAATTTGTGTTTACCCTGTGATTGATGTTAACTGATGGGATCAGAAGTGTAACTTATTTTCTTTTAAGGCCAATTTTGTATAATGTCCTGAAGATGTCCGTAAAAATTTTGTAGACCAGCTTCTGTTTGTTGCCAGGCCTTGTTGTTCTTTATTAGTTAGAAAATCATGTACCAGACAAACGTTTAGACACACCTCCAGAAAATGAGTGAAAACTTGGTGAATGTTGTTTTATGTATTTTAAACTAAAATAAACACTGGATTTTCTTTACGTATACCTGAGTTTATCTCTTTGTCTGACAGTGCAGTACTTTTATTTTGAAGTACTAGCTCCAGTCTTCTTGAATGGTCTCTCCCACAATGGATCAGTTTAGACCTAGAGACTGTGCTCTTAATTACGGGTTTAAACATTCCTTCTTTTATGTCTATTTGTTTGTTTCTTTCCCATTATTTCCTGCAATAATGCCAGAGTTTCAGTTCAGTAATGCTTTCAAGCCACAATTAAAGCTACTTTTACATCCTGTGTTGAGCAAAACAAAAACATGAAGTCTCCCATTTGTGTTTTCAAGCGTTATTTCCATGTTCAGAGAACATCTTGATTCTGGACGGGGAGAGGCATTTGAATGAAATGGACCTCTGGCGTATGCTCGGACAGGGGTCTGCAACCTGCGGCTCTTTCAAGCTCTGACAAAAACCAACATAAAACTGAATTTTGTTGCTTATTATACAAACTACAACAAAAAAAGGACTAGTTTTAGCAGTTTTCCTGTAATTTATTTTACAAATGTGTGAATACTGGAACTGGTACAAGGAGTTAAACACACTGTTTTGTTTCTACTTGGGTTTTTTTTTTCACAATTTAAAATAAATTACATAGGTCTGCCTAGTTCTGTTGTTTTTTTAACTATCCCCTCTCCCCATAAGTTGATGCCTCTTTACAAGAATCTGGTCTTTTCATTTGTCTTAAATTGTAAAAGATATCAATAAACGTTAAAAATCATTGGATATTTTTTAACTTTCACCTACTGGTCACAAAAGCCCCCTCCAACAAACCTAAAGTGGCCCAAGGGCCACCAGTTGATAATCACAGTTGTTGCAGATCTGGACATTTTGATTTAATGAATGAAGGTGTAAAAGGTGTAAAAATGGCTCTGTGGATCGTAAGGGTTGCAGACCCCTGTGCTAGGATGTACAGGAAAAAGAATATGTAAAACAGAAACAAGATTTATCCCTAAGACAGATATACTGTTGTATGTTCTCTTAATCAAGCCTCAGGCTTGCTCAGAAACTTTTAATATTTGATGCAACAGAATATTTAAACGTTGTATACATCACAAAAAAGTTGAATCATGTCGTCTGGACAGTTTCTTTTTTGGAAGAAGCGTTTCGTCTTTCATCCAAAGGACTTCATCAGTCTGAGGCCTGCCAACAGGATCTGTCGTATTAAGTAGCACCTTGTTGACGTGTTGCAAACCAGTCTGCTGTCGAGTTCCCAGGCAGCATGGCTTTACACATGCAAAATGGAGGACCTTCAGTCTCAAACAATCGATCAGTGCATCACAATCAAATGTTATCGGCAAAACGGCCACTTAATACTCACGGAACCAGCTATACCTTACAACTTGATGTATTGATTATTTTCGGGTACAAATTAAACTATAATGGATTATAAATGTACAGTTAGCCTCACGTTTCCGCACTGAAGGCTATGTGTGAACTGATCAACAATTCATTCAAGCGATTAAAGTTTAGTGGAAGGTTGAGTCCTCACTAAAGTTCAACGTAGGCAAACTTGATGTCATATGTGACCTGGTGTCCATTGTCCCATGCATACAAAACGCCCTCCTTGGGGTTGTAGTCAATCTGTGTGACGTAGGTGTAGTTATTGATGAAGGGCATTCTGGGACTCATTTGCGTGTTCGTGTGCGTGTCGAAGGCGTACTCCAGGTTGGCGTCCCTTCGATTATAGCTGTCAACAGCATACAAGACGCCACACACAATGAAGCAGTTCCCAAAATAGTTCCGTCTGAGCCCGGTTCTCCAGGTGGTCTCCTTCTTCATGCTGAGGTCTGTGGGGTCCAGCCGGCTCAGAATGACCGCCTCCTGCAGGAAGCCCTCGTCGTCCAGCGCCGGGTAGATGATCCACAGGCCGCTCTCGTCCACAGCAAGGTCAACGTCCGAGTGGCTGCGCCATTCCCACGGTGATGAAGACTCCTCGAACAGGGCATCGTGCAGCATGGTCCAGGCGGCTACGACACGGTGCCGCAGGTCAAACTTGATGATGTCACGGGAGAAGGCCCGGTTGTAGTAAAAGGCCCCATCATAAACCACATGACCCGTACCAATCCAGTTGTATGGAAGCTTGTAGGAGTTGGTGAAACGGCCTTAAAAATTGGACAATCATGAGACATGAAAGGAAAATGAAAATGTCTACTACAAGTCTGTGAGTTGTTTACCTTGTTTGAACACTTCCAGACTGCGGAACTCCAAGAGGTTATTCCCGTAATAAAAGTCGGTGACATAAATTTTGTCATCAGCAGACTTTGGATCCTTCATCCACGCTCCCTCCATCCCGCCATAGGTGTTCTGGGTTACTGGTTCAGAGATACTTGCTAAAGTGTCCTTACAGTCCTCTGTGAGAAAATCCCAGAAAGGCATAGAGTTAGAGTTCGATGCTAATAAAAATATGAACATGATTTGTTTAAAAAAAACAGCTTCAATCCCATGAGAGTGCAGTTGCCACAAGGGACTTGCAGTATCGTTATATGATGTTATAGGTTTAAAAATTTATAGAACAGGTTTATTTTGTTTTCCTCTATAAGAAAAAAACATTAATCACACCAGTCCTTTAAACCTGAACACAAGAAACTTTGTAACGGCTGCAGGTACTGTGGTGCTTGAAAGTTTGTGAACCTGTTAGAATTTTCTATATTTCTGCATACCAGTAAATTTGACCCAAAACATCATCAGATTTTCACACAATCCTAAAAGTAGATAAAGAGAACTCAGTAAAATAAATGAGACAAAAATATTAAACTTGGTCATTGATTTATTGAGGAAAATGATCCAATATTACATATTTGTGAGTGGTAAAAGTATGTGCACCTCCAGTATTAGCAGTTAATTTGAAGGTGAATTTAGAGTCAGGTGTTTTCAGTCATGTGATGATGATCAGGTGTGAGGGAACACCCTGTCTGATTTAAAGAACAGGATCTATCAAAGTCTGCTCTTCACAACATGTTTGTGGAAGTGGATCATGGCAGGAACATCTGAGGACTTTAGAAAAAGAGTTGTTGATGCTCATCAGACTGGAAAATGTTACAAAACCATCTGTAAAGAGTTTGGACTCCACCAATCCACAGTCAGACTGATGTGTACAAATGAAAGAAATTCAAGACCATTACCCTCCCCAGGAGTGGTCGACCAACAAAGATCACTCCAAGAACAAGGTTTGTAATAGTCGGCGAGGTCACAAAGAAGCCCAGGGTAACTTCTAACAACTGAAGGTCTCTCTCACATTGACTGATGTTAATGTTCATGAGTCCACCATCAGGAGAACTCTGAACAACAATGGTGTTCATGGCAGGGTTGAAGGAGAAGCCACTGCTCTCCAAAAAGAACATTGCTGCTCGTCTGCAGTTTGCTGAAGATCATGTGGACAAGCCAGAAGTTTAGTGGAAGAATGTTTTGTGGACGGATGAGACCAAAATAAAACTTTTTGGTTTAAATGAAAATAATTATGTTTGGAGAAAGGAAAACTCTGCATTCCTGCATAAGAACCTTATCCCATCTGTGAAACATGGTGGTGGTATTATCATGGTTTTGGCCTGTTCTGCTGCATCTGGGCTAGGACTGCTTGTCATCACTGATGGAACAATGAATTCTAAATTATATCAGAGAATTCTAAAGGAAAATGTCAGAACATCTGTCCATGAACTGAATCTCAAGAGAAGGTAGATCATGCAGCGACACAATGACTCTAAACACACAAGTGGTTCTACCAAAGAATGGTTCAAGAAGAATAAAGTTCATGTTTTGGAATGGCCAAGTCAAAGTCCTGACCTTAATCCAATCCAGATGTTGTGAAAGGACCTGAAGCAGCAGTTAATGTGAAGAAACCACCAACATCCAGAGTTGAAGTTGTTCTGTACAGAAGAATGGACTAAAGTTCCTCCAAGCTGGTGAGCAGGACTGATCAAGTTACTGGAAATATTTTGTGTCAGTTATTACTGCACGGGGGAGGGGGGGGTGTCACATCAGATACTGAAAGAAAAGGTTCACATACTTTTACCACTCACAAATATGTAATATTGGACCATTTTCCTCAATAAATAAATGACCAAGTATAATATTTTTGTCTCGTTTAACTGAGTTCTCTTTATCTATTTTTAGGACTTGTGTGAAAATCTGATGATGTTTTAGGTCATATTTATGTTGGAATATAGAAAATGATAAAGGCTTCACAAACTTTCAAGCACCACTGTACATATACAGTGTACTATATATTTATATATTTACCAGGTTTTCCTGAGGTTGATTCCTCCTGCCTTTGCATCGGCTCGCTCATATTTAGGAGTTCATCCTCCACTTTTTCTTCTTCCCAACTAACTCTGTATTTGTGTTTGACCTGAGCAACCTGTTTGGTATTTGTTGCAGCTTCTGCTGAAGTAGATGTGAGAGCAGGTATACTGGTGACTCTGGGTAAAGCTGAGCTTGAAGCATGGGTGGGATTGGTTTCATCCTGTGGTGTCGTGGCATTTGTAATAAATGTTGGCCGTACTGGAGCTGAGGGTGGACGGCTGGTTGGAGAAGCGTCTGTTGTTGGGTTTAGTGGAATAGTGTTTGGATTAGCTGCTGTACTGTCATCTTTTAGCTTAAGGCTAGAGGTTTCCATCCCATTGAGGAGCAAATATTCCTCTGTTACTCTGATGTTATGGGAAGGTTGGGTTGTTTCCTTGGGAGAAACACTTGGAGAAGCATCTGCTGGTTCTGCTGTCATGGGAACTGGCCACCTGGTGACTCTTCCAGCACCAACACTTTGACTAGTTTGAGGCATTGTTTTTATGTGTACTGCACTGGTTGGTCCAACAGTGACACTTCCCCTAACAGATGTGTCTGCAGACACGTCTGATGATTTAGTTTCACCGTCACTTATGTTCTCATTGTGAGTCTCCAAGATTAGTTCAGGCTCCTTTGGTAGTTTTGATTGGCTGCTTTTCTTGTAACTTTGCACAGAACCAGTTGTCCTCAGATGAAATGATCTCAGGCCCACTCTCGTCCTGGACCGAGGCACATGTTGAAGAAGATTCTCCTCAATGAAGAGGTTGACTGGACCCTCACCGCTGAATCCATCGTATTCAAACACTAGAACCAAAGCAGGGGAAATTCTCTGAAGTCTGGATGCCGTGAAGAAACTAAAACAAAACAGTTTTTAGACTTACAGTTGTCTCCAGGCTGTTCATCATCTGCTACCATGGGATCAGGCTTAGACTTGTAAAAAGTCATCCCTCTGATGATCATTCCATTATCTCCAGTCTTTGGCAACTGGGAATCCTCTTTGTTTGCCTTGCTTTTGAGAGTCGCCCGGGGTCTGACCTCAGTGGCCTGAACAGAAACCTCTGCCTGTAGGACAGGTGGATTGTCCCCAGTGAGCTTCTCCTCATGCTTCTGTTAATGACAGTGAAATGAGAGTTCTTTGAGGCCACAATATATCATTCTGCAATCAGAATAAACTAGACTGAACCATTGCTAATACTGATTAATACGTCATTTTTGTAAGAATTGTTTTAATCGGTAAAAGCAACATATTGCTGAAGCTTGGAAATAGAACATATTATTTCTGATTAATATCCAAAGTGATTCTTGATCATGTCGCACCTACTTCTTATGTCATTACATTACCTTCCACCACTCGTTTCTAATAGTTAACCGCACATTGTGCCCTCGGGACAACATAATTGTATTAATGATGTGATATTGGCGTTCTTACTTCTGGATTTTGATCATCTGCTGCCCTGCCAACCTCCTCGAGTCTCCTCTTGTCTTGATGCTGACGAGGAAGAGAAGTAAGTGGACTTTCCGTTACTTCTGCCTGGATGGGAGGACTCTCCTGAGGCATCACTTCCTCCACAGAGTGGTTCAAAAACACCGCCTGTATCAAGATGAAGACAAATGAGGACATGAACAGGAAAGGTTGCAGGTTTTGAAGAAAACTGGCTCTGATTGCAAACAAGTGCAATAATAAAATGTGAACGAGTTTAATACAGTTTGACTTATCTGACTGCTTTGTTTCGCTTAATGCGTCTTATAATCCAGTGCACCTTATGTGTGAAAACAGACCCGTTCATTGATATTGTGCCTTATAGTCCGAAAAATACAGTAATTTTCTACATTGGAAGGTGCAGTGGAAGATACTCTAACAGACAATTTATCACAGTTTTCATGATATCAGCAATGTGATGTGACAATCATGGTTGATAAGGATACATCCTGCTCTGACTGTTTGACATTAAATCAACCAAAGATTCCCTCCTGATTCAATTCAGTTTATTTATATAGCACCAAATCACAGCAGAAGTCGGCTCAGGGCGCTGAACAGAAACATTCAGATACATTATAAATGCCAATTGGTAAAGTTATCTATCTAAGGATGCAAGGAAGTCAGCAGATGTGTTGTCTTCATTCAAACTCTTTTATTGTAATAATTATTCATTATTATTTTTATTCCACTTTTATATAATTTGGATGATGATTGGTAAAGCTCTAAAGGACAAACTGTGATCGTTGTGCTCTTCTTACCTTGGATTATCTTACATGGAAATTTTCACATTTTTGTGCCTTTCCTTTATAATTTAACAAACTATAAAAAGATGTTGCTGATGTGATTTTCACTGATTGAAATCCAAGCCACACCCTCCATGCCAAAGTCCAAATCCTGTCCTAAAGAAGGGTCTTCTACAGCAGTTCACTGAGCCACTGCTGGTTGATGGGTACCTTTTCAATGCGATCCACACGCTTCAGGAGTTTACTGGTCAGGGAGTGCAGCTTGAGAAGATCCATTCCATAGAAGGAACCCTCCAGCAGCTCCAGGATGGTGGACAGCTGCAATAATCAAATGAGTTAACCCATCCAAGAGGTGTAAAACAAGCTGGTCTCTGTTGCCAGATGATTTCATCACAGGGTGGATCCATGTCTCAGGTGATCCAGATCTATTCACCTTGACATTTTCTTTTCCAGCCTCCCTGAGCTTGTGCAGCCTGAACTCTCCCTCGCAGGGGTTGACCGCCGACCGAGGAGCGACGCATGCGCACTTGCAGTCGGGTCCGGAGGAGATGGTTTCCACGCTGTAGGAGTCCTGCTCCGTGGGGCTCCTGCTCAGGGGTCTGACAACACATTTACACCGACAGTCAGAGCCTTCCGACAGGGCTTTCACTTTGTCATAATCACCAAGCAGCTACAAAGAGAAGAGGATGGATGTTTTTTCTCTCTCCACCAGCGCAATATACATTTTACGCACACATTAAAGTAAAAACATTTATAAACAATAACCTACCTTAGAGATGATGTTCTCCTGATCTTTCTCCTCCTCCTCCTGCAGACCCTCATTTTGCTCTGCGTTTGTTCTCATTTCAGAGCTCGGCTCTGGATCCTGCAGCTGCGGCGCAGCAGAGGAGAGCGCGCAGCACATCACTAAAAGCACGCACACTTTCAACATGTTCCCACCGGCACAAAGCTAAATAATAATAATAATTAAACAAATAAAATTAAAGTGCTGCAAGGGTACAAAACAGCTGGGACTCCCTGACACCAGTTTAGATGGAAGAAAACATATTTAGTTTTTAAAAAGTTGCAAAAGTGCATTAACTATATCATCAGATTAACAAGGCTTTAAAAGTGGGGTGTCATATTAGTCTGAATGAATGAAGTCTAAAACAAATGGTGCACCCCTGAGAAAGAAGCTCCGGCATCTGAAGCATAGACCGGATGGGAGGCGGAACCGAACCCACAGGCGAGGGGGAGTGACACCACACACCCCTCCTGCACACCCCCATTTATTTCACCATATATCCTTGTGTACTGTTTATTCTTGTGTACTGTTAGATCCTTACTGTTTCTTTTTATACTTTTTTATTTCATTTTGCCATGTGATGCGAATGACAATTAATAATCTTGGACTAATATGATAATATGAAGTAATTTGAAGTAATAAGATAAATAGATCTTATTACTTTTGTTCTTTTACATTACTTTTGTTGGGTGTAACTGGGACCCTGTGTACACAATGTCATGACAAATAAAGAAACTTTGACTCTGAACCTTGAAATAAATAAATGAATGAATGAACAAATAAATAAATAAATATACAGGCCTATACATATACATATATATCATCAGAATTTGCTTTTATTTTAGAATAAAATGTGAATTTTTAAGGAGCATTGCAACATTTTGCCTTTGATTATTCTGCTGTTCTTCAGTCTCTCCCCAGGACATATTGAGCTACGTGTTGCTGCCCTCTAGTGTTCAGCTGTCTCACTGCATGCAGTGACAGAATGCATGTCTCCCGCCGCCTTTTCATGTCAGGGTTTAAAGTTTATCTTGATGTGCATTGGCGCATATTGTGAGATCTCACAAGATGTGTTGAGCATGAATCCGAACTACAGCACTCAACATCTGTAAAATTATTTGAGCTTATAAACATTTTTATTTTGGCTAAGATTGATCAGCTGTGGTGACCAACCATCTCAGCGTGTCCTCTCTAACTGTATCTCCCAGTTGTTCAACCTCTGCTGTACCTCTGATGATCTCATCCCTTATCCGTCCTTGTCAACCTCAACATCTTGAGCTCTGCCACTTCCAGTTCTGTCTCCTTCCTTTTGGACAATCCCACGTTCTCAAAACCATTCAACATCATGGTCTCACCACTGGCTTTTTGAACCATCTTCTTTACCTTTGCTAACACACATTTGTTGCAAATCTCTCCTGAAACTTTTCTCCATCCACTCCATCCTGCCTGGACTCTCTTTTTCCACCTCTTTACCACACTACACATTTTCCTGGACAGTGGATCCCAAGCAGTGATGTAGTCTAGCAAAGTACACTGGTTACTACAATGCAATCGTCAATTTATTTTGATTTTAAGCATATTGAGCATTTCCAAATTTCTCTTATATTTGAATAAATGAACAAACTTTGTACAACCGTTGGCTTTGTATTAAAAACATTATAGAATTTATAAAACAGTATCAAAGCAAAGCGCTGCATACAGACAGATTGTTACGGAAGCGTTTAACTGTCGTTTAATGTATCGATGACACATGCCTAATGATATGTCGTGTCATTGGGCACTTTTAAGTGGGTATACTGAAATTCTTAAGCTTTTCTAGTGGGTATACTCCGTATACCAAAGTATCACGTAGACTACACCACTGACCCCAAGTACTTGAAGTCCTGCACCTTTGTGACCTCTGCTCCTTGTAGCCTCACTGTTCCACCTGTCTCATTCACACACATGTACTCTGTCTTACAGCTGACTTACATTCCATCTATCCATCCATCCATCCATTATCTTTACCCACTTCTTCCTTTTCAGGTCACTGGTGCCCATATCCTGCAGTGAGAGGTGGGGGACACCCTGGACAGGTCTCCAGTCCAAGGGACACATAGAGACAAAAAACAAATCACTCTCTCACTCACACCTAGGGACAATTTAGAGTTACCAGCCAGCCTAACATGCATGTTTTTGGTCTGCGGGAGGAAACCCACGCATGCACGGAGAGATCATGCAAACTCCACCCAGAAAGGCCCCTTGGTCAGGATTTCATCCAGCAACCTTTTTGCTGAGAGAAAACAGCTCTATTAACAAAAACTTCATGCTGCAGCAACTTTCATTCCTCTTCTATCAACTGCTTACCTCCCTCTCTCCAAGTTCTCTTCCACCTGCTTCCTGTTCTCAACACAGATCATAATATCATCTGCAAACATCACAGTCCATGGGGATTCCTGCCTGACCTCATCTGTTCGTCGGTCCATCACCAGAGCAAACATGAAGGGGCTTAGAGCTGATCCTTGATGCACTCCCACCTCCACCTTGAAGCTATCGGTCACTCCTACAGCACATCTCACCACTGTCCTGCTGTCCTCACACATGTCCTGTACCAGTCTAACATACTTCTCTGCCACTCCAGATTTCCTTATGCAATACCACCTCCTCTCTCTGCACTCTGTCACATGCTTGTTCTAAATCCACAAAGACACAATGGAGTTATTTCTGACCCTCTCTGTACTTCTCCATCAGCATCCTCAAAGCAAAGATGGCACATGTGGTGCTCACTGCTACAACAGCTCCTTCTTTGAACTCCTCACAACATTCTTCTTTCCTCAACTTCCAACATTTGGTCTTTGACTTTACTTTTTTCCTTCTTCGCCACAACAGTCATCCTGCACATTATTATGTGATGACGTCATGCTCTCCCCTGCCACAACCTTACAGTTCCCATTCTCTCATTCTGAACAAGCACGTCGACAACAGTGGAAAGGAAAAACTCCCCTTAACAGGAAGAAACCTCCAGCAGAATGAGGCTCAGGACGAGCCGGCATCTGCTTCGACTGGCTGGGTTTGAGAACAGGAAGGAGCAATAAACACAGAATGACAGGTCCAGGTGTACTTTCTATTGGAGGAAAGATGCCAAAACTTGTTAAGGATAGAAACAATTACAGCCAGGACATCCTTGTAAAAGAGATTGATGATCTCAATGGATTTCTTCCTGGTAAAATAAAGTAATAAATATATATTTTTAATTACAAATACAAACAGGTAGGGTAAGTAAAGACAGCAGCAGAGGGAGGAAATGAGGTCAATTTGTCCTCCAGCAGTCTAAGTCTATAGCAGCATAACTAACAGATGGCTCAGGAAACCCAAGCTGACCCTAACTATAGGATTTATCAAAAAGGAAAGACTTAAACCCAGTCTTAAAAGTAGTCAGGGTGTCAGCTTGACGGACAGAAACTGCAAGTGTTGTAGCCAAAACAACATGACACTGACTGAATCTCTTCATGACAGCAAAGATCAGGGTTTATTGAAGAGGTGCAGAAACTGTAAATCAGCCCAACGGCATCAGAATCCAAAAATAATTCCTCCTTCACAGATTTTCACAAAGCGTTTATATTATTCACATCCATTGTGCCACGGCAGCATTTACGTGTCACTCGTACACTCAATCAGAGAGGATGTACTGGTCAGAACCTAAACCTGAACTTCATGGCATCTTTGATTTATCTACAGGTTCACCGATAACATCATGTTTTATTACACTGACTGATAAACAAAATGCTTCTTCAGAAGTTGGTTCCACAAGAGAGGAGCCTGGAAACTGAAAGATCTGCCCCCATTCTGCTTTTAGAACCTCTAGGAACCACAAGTAAACCTGCAGTCTGAGTGAAGTGCTCTGTTAGGAAAATATGGAACAATAATATCTTGAATATAAGATGGAGCTAGGTTGTTGAGAGCTTTGTAGGCTAGAAGTAAGTATTTGAATTCAGTTCTGGACTTGGCAGGGAGCCAATGGAGAGAAACTAAAATTGGAGAGAGATGATCTCTCCCACTAACTCCAGTTAAGACTCTGGCAGCAGCATTTTGCATCAACTGAAGACGTTTTAAATGAGTATCTGGACACCCAGATAATAAACCATTGTAATAGTTCAGTCTAGACGTGATAGCATGGAGCAGTTTTTCTGCATTATTTTTGGACAAGATCAACAAAAAAGGTTAAATCGTGTCATCTGGACCAGTTTCTTTCAGTGAGAAAGTTTCGTCCCCCATCCGGAGGACTTCGTCAGTCAGATCTGTCCCACAGGTAGCCTTCACTGCTGTGTTTCAAGCCAACCTCCTGTTTGAGGTTCTGTTGGAACCAGATCTGTCCTGTTTTGGTTGGCAGACTGACTAAGTCCTCTGGACTTAAAGAAACTGGTCCAGATGATGATTTAACCTTTTTTGTTGTCATCTACCTGGATAATTGATCTTACAAACCCTTTTTTAGGGGGGGGGGGGGGGGCAAGGTGTTTTAGTGATATTACGCAGGTGGAGGAACGCGGTCCTGGTAACTTTTAAATGTGAGGGTTAAAAAAGACTTTATCCAAACCAAACTTATTCCCATGGAACAATTTGCTTGAGATGACATGTTTAGTTGTGCAATTCCAACTTTGTTCAGTTTGGAAAACCTCTGTTTATAACATTTTAAAATAGAACGAGTCGTGCATTCCCACAAGGATGGATATTTGTTTTTGATTCGTTTGCAGAGGCCAAAATTTACAAACGAAACCAAAAGGTCATTCCCACGAGTCACAACCAAGAAAAATGTGGGAAATGCTGTTTGTGTGTCTGTAAGTAAAGCATCTCATGAACCACCTGACTGATCTAACTCTTAACTCTACAGCTATAACTGAAGTCAAGCCAATTCAAGATGGCTCCCACAGACAACTGACCTCAACACATCGAGCTCTGATTTTTCATTCCACCTTTATTTACACAGGTTAGTCTCATCGAGCCCCGGGGACTCGTTTACAAGAGAGACCTGTAAATCTGTGATCACACAGTTGTTTTTAACTTTGCCATCAACTATAGTCAACTCTGTTAGCAAAATACTCATGTACATATACAGCTGATTAACTTTTGGAGTTGGAGACAAAAGAAGCTATAAATCAATTTTAAATATGCTACCGAGTTAAAACTTGATACGCGAGACGTTCAACACGTTCTCTGAACATGAGACCTCGCAAGATGTCATTTTCATGGTTTATTGTAAAATATACAAAGTTTCCCAGTATAAAACTGGAAATAAGACAGAGACAAAGTGAGGGGTCTTTTAAACTTGTCAAATTTCCTACATAAACAGAAACAGCTAGCTACCCTGCGCTAAATGTCCTACATAAACTGCAGAGCATCACAATTTACATGAGACCATGAGACGCTCCTGTTACTTATGATTCAGGGATTGATTTTTATTAAGACAATAATTATTTTAAAATTACGTTTTACTCTGTTTCTATCGTTTTTGTGCTCAAAACAGCTCTGAAAATTATTGGTTGAGTAAAACTCATAAAAAAAGTTCAACTTTAAAATGAAGCACCTCACCAGAAAAGTTAAAAAAGTCAGAATAAAAAGCTTCAATTTGCCTCTTTCTTTTTGAAGTCCACTTATTGCATTTAAAAGACTAAAAAAGTAAAGTGCATTTTCATCAAATCTGTTTTTTCCATCAGAAATTAATAAACTTTTTTTCACAAATATCCAACTGCAAATTGGATCTTATTTAATGTTGTTGTGTTCATCTGCATTGTCATTAGAATGCTTGTGGGAAAACTTTGGTTCTTAAAAACTGCTAAAATCCACAGAATTATCAGCGTCCCTCACTAAAAAGTGATAATTTAGTGCGTGGATTTTCAGCTTATATAAGAGTGTCTCTGTCCTCTAACATCCTTCACGTTCTTTTCCTTCTTCTGCTGCTACAGGCAGGATAAGGTGAGAAATGCGGCTCCACAGTCCACCATATTTATCAAGATCCATCCTGTCAAAAGATACAGGATGGCCACGAGAGAGAAACTTTCTCTGAAGGTGGTCGTCTACCATCTCCTCGACCGCACTCAAGCCGATATCCGCAGGAATCCCCTCCTCCTCGCCCAGCAGCACTGTAAAGATCAGAAAAGTCTTCTTGTATGCAGCATTCTCATGGTCACAGTAGCGATAAAAGATGAGCGTGGACCCTGGAGGCAGCTCTTCAAAGCGATGAATGACTGCGACAGTTGCGTTGCCCTCAAAGGCTCGTTGCAGCTTGCTGTCAATGTCCAGCTTGACTTGGTCACTGTCTTGTCTGGCTTTGCTGGCTCCGTCGATGTGGAGGACAGAAGTGCTGAGGGCAGAAGAAAAGGCGAAGGCCAGACTCTGAGAGAGGCAGTTCAGCGTCCTCTCTGCTCCAAGGCCTGCAGTCAGGATCAGACTCACTGGCTCTGTGGGATGGGAAGTCTGGAGGTGCCTCTTCAGGTGAAGTCTGCTCCTTTTCCAGAGCTCGGCACGCTGACTGGGATACTGAGTCTTTACTTTTTCCATCTGCTCCAGGAAGAGGTCTATTGGCTGCAACTCATTTTTCGGAGGTACAGATTCTGGTTGAAGGAGATGCTGCACCAGGATAGCGATGAGTACCACTATGCCCACTACCACCAGGACTCTTTTGCTTCCTGTAAAGAAAATGAGTCTCATAAATATAAAAGGCTACTTTATCTAATAATTTTTTTTTATCATGTATCATGCAATAACACACAATAACAGTTTTAATAAAGCAGTAATTGACCAGTAATTTCATTTAGAAATCAAAATAGCAAAAAATAAAACGAAATAAATTATACTACCACCTCCGTGAGTTCCATCAGCTTCTGAAAACGCTGATTCAGAAGCCTCAGTGATGGTGGGGCCAATAGTTTCAACACAGCTTGTTTGACCATCTAACTTTTTTACAACTGGCGCCTTCGTTTCTTCCTCTGAAGCTGAGGCATTCGACTCATCTGAAGAGGAAATCAAAACAGAAGAATTGAATCAGACATTTTAAGCCATGTGTACAGCTATGCGATGACTTTATGTTGTTTGTGCAGAACACCCAGATTACCTGGATCCAAAAGTTCAGCAGTCTGTGAGTCTTCAGAGGGATAAGACTCGCCTTCTTCAGCTTCATTGTTTGTATCTTTAATGGCTGGTGAGTTTTCACTTATCCCAACTTTAGGACCATCTACTTCCTCCTCCTCTCCACTGGCTAGTGTTGGTAAGGTTGCTGCTTTAGGATCTGCCTCAGTCCCAGAGGGGTTTTCTCCTAAATAAATAATAGCAGTCTAAATTTCAAAACAGCCAAGGATTTATAGTTGTTTTATAAGAACTCATCTACATTACTGATCAAATTAAAAAAAAAACATTATTTTCAAAACTAATTTGCATAAAGCAAGCATTAACTTTTAATAAATGCCACTGGCTTTTTCAGTTTGAAAAATAACTTCAAAATTAGGAGTACAGAAAGAAATAAGAACCTGTTGAACCACTTGGACAGGAATGCTTTTCAGGGATCGTCTCAGCTGTACTTTCGATTTTTGTAGAATCTCCTTTGCAAACGTCACGACTTTCACCTTCAGCTGGGTCACCTTCAGCTGGGGCACCTTCAGCTGGGGCACCTTCAGCTGGGTCACTGTTTTTGTTGACTTTGTCCGGTAAATGATCACCTTCAGCTAAAAAAGCATCTGCAAACAAACTAAACTATTAAGTGCCATCTAAGTCTTATTCTCTGTCATGTCAAAGATTATTTTCCCGATCGACCCATAGAAAAGTCGTGTTTTAACTTCCTCACCGTTGACCTCTTGTGCTGTGGCTTCACCACTGGTGTTTATAGGCACCTCATTTGCAGGTGTGGGTGATGATGGTGCATCTGGGTAGAAAACAAATTGTGATAAAGACGTTTTTTTTTACAGAAGCAATAAATATTTACATTTTATAGATTGAACAGAGATCCAAAGGTTCAGATTCATTCACCGACTGTACGTTTTTGTTTTCAACATCTATTTAAAAAGCATATGTAAACATTTTGTCACTACACCAACCTAAATGAAGTGAAATATTTTCTTTTAATCATACCAAATGTGTCCTGACAGGTGATATCCTGTCCTTCTTGTTCCTCTGCCATGTCTTTGGATGGTTTCACTTCACTCCCAGTGACCCACTGCATTTTTCAGAACATAAAACATAAAAAATATGTTTTTTCCAGCTAGCCCAAGGCAAAGTTTATCGATTCCATTTGCTGTCATTGTAAGCTCAAAGTTCATGATGACGTCGGAAAGTTGTTACAGCACCTGACCTGCCACATGAACCACATATTTTCTAACATATAAAGCATAGCCAAACATTTTATATGTGAGCTCGTAGCTGAAATAATGAAAATGATCGCTACGTTCGTTTCACTAACTTTAATTGCGTAAAGTCTGAGCGCAAACTTTACTTTATCTGATATGACACACAGTCTGAACTGTTCAGGTTGTCAGAAGTGTTAAAAACGAGGCTTGAGTGAAATAAACAAATCAATTATATTACAAATAAATCATACGTTGAACATTACCTAATATTTATTGACTATTAAGTGTCTTAACTATAAACCAGGTTGGTAGCGAGTCGTTTAGCTTCCGCTAAGATGCTAATTCAGCTAAGCGAAGAATAGCGCGCCACAGTTTCGTTAAAAACAAACACTTTATGTTAGTAAAGAAAAAGAGGGTAAAAAAAATGAAGGTTACTGTTACCAGTTTATAAAGCAGACATCCGATCACATCTCCGTGAACTATGAAGCTACTGCTATCTCTTCTGAGTTACGTGGATAGATACGATCTTTCAGCGGAACCTTCAGTATGAGAGTGTTTGTTTCCGTCGGAAACCCATCAACTCTATTGGATTCCTGTCCCGTCATGAACTGTGTCCCCTCACATTAGCGGGAAGTTGTCGCTTGCGATTTGTCTGTGACAAAGATGCTACTACGCTGTGCTGAGTAGTTGTTTTTTCTGCGTATTTTGATAGTTTTGATATAATTATTGGATTCCAAGATGTCTGAAAACAAGACTTTTGGTCCTGTGACAAGATCGAGGCGGCAGTCAGGAAAAGGTGAGCAAACAAAATGGATGGTTGGTGATGACCATCAGTTAGCTTAGCTTCCACTGTAATGTTGTCTTGCGTAAAAATGAAAAACAACGCGTTTCTGTTCAAACCTGTTATGCTAATACGTGTAACACGTTCTTGATCAGAGAACGGATGGAAATTAAAAGGTCCAGTTTGTCTTTTTTTTTCGCGCATCAACCTCAACGTAACAATTTAACCACAGAGGCAAACACATTACTTTTAGCCAGTTAGTCAGTGATAGCTCATGAAATGTTGTGCATAACATGCCGAAAAAAACAGTAACTGGTTTATCATGATAAGGGCAGGAAGACGCAGTATCTCTGAAACATAAACTGCTTTTATTTTCACAACAGCAGAAGCATACATCTCGTGTTTGTCTTCTCTTAATGCCCACCACCAGCGCGGTTTCTGCTCGCGCTCCTTAGCAACCCGCTATGGTAGCCCCACTAGGACAATAAAGGTGAATCTCACAACATATTTTTTTAGCATCAAGAAACCAACTGTTTGAACATCTTGAAAGAAGGTTTAGGTCCCTTTTCTCAAAGTTTGGGGTCAGAAACACTAATTGGCGGGGTCTGGAAAAGATCTCCAGATTTAATTGTTAAAACAAGACTTCTACAAGGGTTCTTCCAGACAAAATATAAACAGTGGTCTTAAAATAAAATGTCTGTTGGTTGTTGATACTGTTTGTGTTTGTCATGAATTTAATTGCCTTATTTTGAATATTTGTATACTTTAATTTATACTGTAATAAATTCAATTCGGTACTTTATTTGAGGGTCAGACGATGTAAATTTTGCAAACATTGAATGATCAAAGATGACATTGTGTAGTAACATACAGGGGTCTTGTGGACTCACTGCGCTATTTTATTGTGTGTGTGTGTGTGTCTGTGTGTGTGTGAGTGCAGATGTTTAAATAGGTAAATGGTGTGAATAACTTCTAATGCAGGGCTATTCAACTGGCGGCCTGTGAGCTGGGCTTCAGTCTGGCCCACCAGTGAGCTCATAAAAAAAATGTTTGTGTGTATGGGAGGGGGTGTTGCATTTATGATTCATTCAATGCAATGAAACAAACAAATTTAAAAGGTAACATCATTGCAATACTTGGTTTATTACGTAATGACTTAATCGCTGGAGGTCCTGCCCCCGAGCTGCTGGCTTTCAGAAACTGGCCCCCTGAGCAGTTTTGTTGAATAGCCCTGTTCTAATGTAAAAATAACAGTTAATATGAATCATGCATTATACCTTGATAACACTTTACTGTTGTGAAGATTCTCAGTCATCCAGGATATGGTGATTTCTAAGAACTTAACTAAACAAAGGGACAGCACATCTATTCTGTGGCTGAAGATGTTTCACATTTTTCAGGGAACATTCTCAAATCAAAACTGAAGAGTACAGATTTCCAACCTTTAAACTGCATGAGATACTCTTAGATATATGCAAGCTAAATTCCCATGTAGATTAATCCCATTCCTCTGCTTCTTTCTTCAAAAATGAGTCAGTGACAGAGTGTCAAGCCAGTGCTTTGTTGTGTTGTGGAAATCAGAGGCCTTCTCAGTTTAAAATGAGTCTTTCTCATTTGACGTTGATAGTAAATGAACATCTGTCTTCTTTGTTCAAAATGTTAACATTTTTGTCCTTAAAAGTGTGTCACTTGTCCTTGAGATGTAGGTGCACAGCTGTGTCTTGTCCTGAAGAGCTGCTTCGCCTGTGATGAACCATGTGTTTGAGGTGAAGCTGTTGAGTTTCTCCAGTGCAGAGGTCCGAACATCCCTCGCTCCACCGAACTTCAGACACAAAACTGCTCAGTTTGTGTCTGGGTGTTTTGTTCATAGAGTGAACCAACGTTTGTCTGAGAGCTCAGTTTGGCTTAAAATGTGTTTGAATGTCATGTTTGAAAGGAAAAAAAATCTGAGGTTTTTAGATTTTGAGAGTATTTTTGATTTATTCCTAACTTTCTGTTTGGTTCAGTGGCGTAGTTTTGATCTCATAGTTTAAAGCTTGAAGCTCCACAGTTTAGAATTTAAAAGGCTTTCCTGGGGAATCAAAAGCGATAAATGAACCGCTAAGTAGCGAGGGACTACTGTATAGCATTTGCACAAAATAATAATAATTATTATTATTATAATGTTATGTGTTGTCATCATTGTATAGTCCCATACAATGGTGAAATTGGCTCTGCATTTAACCCATCCACTCCCAGGTGGAGCAGTGTATAGTTGGCCTAAGGTTGTGAGAATGTGTACAGAGAACATAAACATTTGTTTTGTTTTGTCTATAGCATCTGAAAGCATATGACCATATGTTGTCAAAAAATGTAGCAGTACTTTGCATTCTTCAAGAATGAGATGTATTCCAATCCATATCCAACAAAATCACCATTTGTGACTTTTTGTTATTGGTTACTGCTACATTAGGCTTGAAAACAGCTGTTACAAAGTTTTCAACAAAGTTTGCAGATTATTTAAAAATACCTGCTGGTGACAGAACTTGGTGATATGCAGCAACTGGTACCTGCTGTTAAAATCAAAAAGAGCAATTTATGAACTAACTGAAAGTGTTCTAGTAGATGACAAGTTTAACACTGTACAACTCTGAAATGTCAAAGTATACACTCAACAAGCCCATATATATATAGGGGTTCTGTGTTATCAGGCATCAAGATGTTAACAGCAAGTCATCAGAGCCGTCCACTTCCCAAACATGCTTAGTAAGCTTGAGTAAGCATGTTTGGGATGTGGACGGCTCTGATGACTTGCTGTTAATATCTTGATGCCTGATAACACAGAATCCCTATATATATGGGCTTGTTGAGGGTATACTTTGACATTTCATAGCTGTGTGTTAGCTACAATGTTAAACTTGTATTTTTTTATACAGCACTGGGTGTTGAGCCAACCCCCAGAGGTCCTCTGAAACGGACCAGAAGGCCGTCAGAAGCCCAGCCTTCAGTTAAAGGCATCAGACATGAGGAGAACGGCTGGGACGATGAAGGTTGGCTGCTCTAGTTAACAGTATTTCTTCATATACTACAACCAAGATAATCCATAGTCTCACTCTTTAACTGTTATTTTTTTTTTTTTTTTTTACTTGTCAGAGTCTCTGAGCAAGAAGCACCGTTTTGACTACGGAGATGCCGTCAGTGACAGCGTTGATGAAAATGAGATGGATGTTGAGGAATCAGCCAAAGAAATCGAGAAAAACGAGGATGAGGAAATGGATGCAGAAGAAGATTCATCATCTGAGACCAGTCTTCCAAAAATATGCAAAGGTTGGAGTTGAAAATGGTTCTTTTGTTGATTAAATCAATGGTTTATCTGTGGAATTTCAGACATTATAATAAACAGAACCAACAAATGTTAGGACTCTTGCTCAGTAAGAGAAAGACTGAAAGTGGGATTATAAAGTATTTTATGTTTGACAAATGTCTGTTGGTTGTTTCACAGTAAGAGCTAAAGTTGCAAACAAAACAATTCCAACGCTGTGTTAAAAAAAAGTGCAAAGCAGAAGCAGGCTTTGCACGAATTTCACTTCTTTATTTTATTACTACCAAAGATACAACTTTAGTTTTATTTAAATATATCCAATGATTTAAATAGCCATGTATATGTAGTTGTATTAAGGACTTCTTATCTTTATCTTATCTAGAGCGTTAAATTCCTTTGACCTTGTCATCAAATGTATTATTGCAAAAACGGTTATAACTGAGTTATGATTTTGTTGTTGTCTAAAACAGACACCTTCAAAGATGTGAATTTGTCCCCTCGCGTCGTCCTCGGTCAGCGCTGCCGCATGACTCATCCTCCAAACGAGGATTTAAAAGGGATGAAACCCCTGCCAGGTAGATTCATTCTGCTTTGAGGAAGAGGAGAGCAAACGTCTTTTATTAATCAAAGACCTCAGTCTGCATGTACAGTTAAGGTATTACACATAGTTGACCCTAAACTGACCCTTTGTTTTAAAGCAGCAATAAAACAACCTTCATCCCCCACCAAGTCTACCCTGCAAATGAAACCACTGGAGAAAATGGAAAAATCTCACAATGAGCCCATCATCAGCACATATGAGTACAGGAAGAAGATGGAGGCCAAAGCTACAAGCAAAGGTACTGGTTGAACCACAGACCTTTCTTTTTTATTCTTATTGTGAAGAAAATGTCGCAGAGCACCTGTTGAAAGGACACAAACACATTGCATTAACAAACTGAACTTTGTCTTTAGATATAACCAAAGTCAACCACTTTGTCCAAAGTGCACATCTGCCTTCGGAGAAGGTGTTTCCCTTGAGACAGCGCGTGAACAACATTCCAATACATACAAACACTGTTCATCTTAAAAAGCAAGGTAAAACAGCTAAATAAATAAAATAAAAAAGACATTGCAACATATTGGACAATGATTTTCTCTTTTAGAAGCATCAAATAAGACTGCAGGGACCAAGAGCAACTCTGGTAATTCTTGTCGAGGTAACTTGTTGTCAGATCTTTAAACTCAAAGCTTGGCATTCTTTCCTGTCGTGATTTTTATTTTATTATTTTTGTGGTCCTTGCAGGATTTACGTGGTTCTTGTGGCGGTTGGTTTTCCTGCTGCTGCTCAGCTCTGCCACCTTGCTCGCATACAAGATCCTCCCTGGGCTCCAAAGATCTGCAGATGGAGGAGAACATCAATCCAGGGGAGTGAAGACGGAAACGTTTTCTTATCACTTGTCCCTTCTTAAAACTCAATTCCCCCGTCAGAGACCTGAGTTATGGAGGAGGAGCAGCATCCACCTGCGGAAACACCTTGACAAAGCCCACCCAACAGAGGCGGTCAGTCTGATCCTTACCGCAGGCCTTGGGGCGGAGAGGACAATGGACTGCTTGGCTCGCGGCTTGGCCTCCACCTACTCGCTGGCCCTCAACGCCTCTGTCCTCCACCTGGACGGAGCGAGCAAAGCCGGCCAGGACAGTAACGCGGTAAAGCTGGACATCGACAATCAGCTGAGAGCAGCCTTTGACGGAGATGAACCAGTGGCGGTCATTCATCGCTTTGAAGAGCTGCCTCCGGGTTCCACCCTCATTTTCTATCGCTACTGTGACCATGAAACGGCTGCGTACAAGCAGGTGTTCCTGTTGTTTACTGTGCTGCTGCCTCAAGAGAGCATCGAGGAGGAGCTGAGTCTGGGGAAGGTGGAAGAACTGGTTCGTGACTATGTTGAGAAAAAGCAGGTGGGCTCTAAAAGCACTTCTGCCTACAATGAAATGGATGCTGATAAGTTTGGTGGATTATGGAGCCGCATTGCTCATCTGATTCTGCCTGTGGCGCCAGAGGAGCAGGTGGAGCAGAAAGGATGTCCATATAATAAGGATACCGTGTAATTGCAGTGGATTTTAACTAGACGATACAAAAGAAATGTGTAAATGTGTGATCTTTTGTTTGCAGACTTGGTTAAAGCGTTTCAAGGCTGCATTAATACCTCTGACAGATTAATCCTCGAGTTGCAGAGGTGGATTTTATTCCCGTCCCTCCCCCCTCCCCCCCCCCGCCAACCCCGACCGCCCATGCTGGACAC